ATGGTAAAACCAGCAATAGAAATTTTTGTGGTACCCCTTCTCTATGAATTTCTAGGCCTTCTATGATGCCCCATATCCTTGATGCTAAGCACGTGCTTATTTTGCTTAATGCTTTATCCAGCTCTGAATGTGCACATTGTATAATGTTTACTAATATTATATTTTTACAATATGAATTATTGTAACATTTGTATATTTATATTAAATTAGCACAGAATTATAAATTTTAAAAAAAATTGAAGTTTGAAAATTTCAGATTACGGTCTAAAACCTCAGAAAAGAGTTTACAATTAAAAATATCGCATATTTTTAAAAAGTAAAAAAAAATTAAAAAAACACGAAAAGTGTACAAATCTTTCGCTCTTTTTCTTGAATAAAAATATTATGTATTTCTGCCAGTTCAAATCCTTATAATTAATAAAATTAAAACTCAACTCGAAAAGAATTTAAATTCTGAAAGATCCGTTTGTTTTGTATTTCTTTTTTGAACGTGAATTGGTATAAGAAAAAAAAATCTGATGTGTATACCAATGACTTCTTTCTACGGAATATTAAATTCTGCGCATTTTGCCTGCATTTCATTTAAACTTATTTCCTCGAATTTCATTAAAGATATATTTCTCATACAATTAATTAACTTCTCACTTCTCGGAAGGCAAAAATACAACAAACTCAAAACATCTTCATTAAAAATTGAAAGATATAGAAAAATATAAAACAACAAATACAGTTAAAAAAATTTTTTTTTACAATTAAAATTACAGTTTCTACATAAAAACAAGCAATTTGGCCAACAGGCAAGAAGCAGATTTTTCGATGCACAAAACTAAACGTTTTCTTTTGGCACCTTTCTGCAAAAAGGACACTGAAGGTGCAGAAAGACTTAATTCACTATTCTATATGTTTCAAATGTAAACAAATATGGCTGCTATGGTAAGACAAATTAGGCTTAGTCGCACTAATTTAAAAGTTGTTTACAACTTTTAAATTGTTGATAATTCTACAACTATTGCACGCAGATTTACTAAAGGCATAAAAATCTTAACCGAAAGATAAGAATAACATAATTCAAACATTTTTAAAGGGAAAAAAATGCACAATTTACCAACATATAAGAATAACATATAAAAAAATTTTGAATAAAATAAAAAACAAAACAAAACAAAAAAAAAAAAAAAAAAAAACCGCTCATTTGGGAGTACTAATATAAAATCTGAAAGCTTTGAGATTTAAAAAACATTTTTCTTCTTTTTTTTCTGTCTTTTTTCTTTTTTCCAATAAACTCTCGAGGCGAGAGTTTAGATGGCTACTGTGCTAGTACCAGTTTTCCCTATGGCGCTGCTAATGGTGCCCTACACACTTATTCGTGTCATATCCCGTCTAAGAGAATAGAACAGTATAAAAATAACCAACTGATGTAGTTATGCAGTCATAATGCACAATTTATTCACATAAAAATGCAGCTATCATTCACATAAAGATAAGAATTAAATTTCTCTGTACTGAAATATATGTTCACCGATTTTTTTTCAGGATATAAGATCAACCTAAACTGTTGCAAGAATTGAAGAGAAATCCTTCTCATCAATAAACGACAGAAATTATCTGATTATGAACATCCCTTTAAGTAAGTTATAAGGTATTTCTTTCGAACTCTTGGCATGCCTTCGCGGTGTAGTGGTCAGCAAGCTCAGCGTATAATTGAGAGGTCTGCGGTTCGATTCCCGACAAAGGCATTGCTAACTTTTCATCTCTCTTGCTTCCAAAAATACCTAATGTCCCTTCAGTGGCGCCTGAACTAAAAGGGTGGTGGATGATGATTCTCCACATCCAGGATTTGGCGATTGGTTCCCCTAAAATACCCCAATCGACCTTTAAAAGGGGGTATATAAGGTATTTATTTCTCTCGCCTTCTTGGCATGCCTTCGTGATGTGGTGGTCTGCACGCTCGGCGCGTATTCCAGAGGTCCGTGGTTCGATTCCCGGCGAAGGCGTTACAAATTTTTCAGCTTGCCTGCTTCAGAAATAATCCTAATGTAATTCTAACAAAGTAATTAGTGCCAAAGTTCATAGAAGTCATATGTTTTAAAGTGCTAAATTAAACAAACTGAAAGCAATGTGTACTTGATGATTTAGGAAAGACAACTGCAGAGTATTATAATTTAAACTGGAAAAAAGCCAAATTACTTCTCATTTCCTGTTCATTAATTGAAGAAATTCATTCATTCATTAAAAAATATAAGGATGTGTTGGACAGCTAATAAAGTTTTAAAGAATTACATAATATATGTATTACTATACTATAAAGTAATATCAAAGCTTTCCATTCTTTTCCAGATACCCTCCATTCTATAATGTTCAATGGGTGATAAAAAGCAAACATTTATGTTTTATTGCCTTGGCTGTGTTTAGTAGTTAATTTTTCGCTTCCATTAAATTAGTTGATAATGAGTTCAGATAAATTCAGCATGTAGATGGCAAATAAATAATTTTTCAGCTCGTTGCAGTTAATTAGCCCTTTATTTATCTAACATAAGAAGATTCGCGTTTTGCGACACATGAGTTAAATGATAAATAAATGAGCTGTAACACGAGATAACTGTTTCGCAATCAAGTTCACTAATTGCAATTTTTTTTGGGGGGGGAAATCCATTTTGAAGTAAAATTATCTTTTATCTGTTCTTCTACCCTCTGATACATTGATCGCTGTTTGAAGTAATTGATTCATGGTAAATGATTTTTTTAACGCTTGATTTGCGAAAGGGAAAATATACAGAATTACAGCGTCTAAATGCTCCTTAATAAGTGATTTCAAATTTTGACAGTCAATCGACAGGATTAGCATGCTACAGTGCAAATATTCATGAAGATAAAACGTCAGCTTTTCCGATTAGTTTTAATCACCTAGTAAAGATGGAAGAATCAAACAAGTATTGTTGTTGTTAATTGTGCTCACTTGTCTGACAGTAGCATCAACTCAAGCCCACGAAATTCCTCGTGGCAAGGAGATTTCTTTAGATTCCGAAAAATTCCAAAAGAGTGTACAAATGGGCCCGAACTAAAAGGTGGTGACCTTTATTCGTCACCAACAGGACTCGAAAATTAAGTCCTCTTCTTCTCAGTCGCCTTTATGTGGGGGATAATGTTAGAATTTTCTTTCTCCTAATCACTTGCCTTCGTGGGGTAACTGGAAAGCATTTCTGACTAAGAATCAGGAGGGTCGGAGTTCGAATACCCTCGAAAGCATTGCCTATTCTTCACATTTCCTGGCTTAAAAAAATATCTCCCTATATTATATTTAAAGATATAAAATAATGACGAATCTGCATAAAATTATGCATGTCTCGAGTTGTGAAAAAACAACGGTATTTAGAGTGATCAAATTTTGAATAACCCGAAAATGGGAACCTGAAAGCCTTAATTTTGAATTTCGATTTTTCTTATTACCTTCTTTATATTTTGTAAAATTTTAAAAGAATTTTTAATTAACAAACGCGACGATTTCGAAGCGAGCATTGGTAATACTGTAACGAAAACATCACTTTTATCTCCAGCGAGCGAGACTGTCTATCGAAAATTCTCAAGGTATGCTGTTATAAAGCATTTTGTGATTTTGCTATTGAATCGAATTTTATGTGCCGTAAGATCCAAGAATGTGATATTTAATAAATAAAGTAAACACGCAAAATGTTAAAAATAAGAAGACAAAAAAAAAAAAAAAAAAAAAAAAATGTTTTGTGAAGCTATCTTCAGTAAGAAAACTGAACTTTGATATGATGAACTGAGAAAAGACTGGAAATAAAACAGAAAAATGTATGCCAACAACTTTAACGCTGCATCAGGAATTCTAAATGTATACTGCTATGCTGCTTTTAAAATTTTTGTAATTTTGTTGTTGAATTTTATATAGCGTATGCACGAAGAAAATGATGCTCAGTAATAAAGCTTGAAAGAAAAAAAAAGTGGCTTAGTAATGAATGAGTATAACAGCAGACTATGAGCTCTCAGCTCAGCGAAAGCGTAAGAAAAACTTTTCAGATTTTTTTTATTTATTATTCTTTTGTTTTCTATAGCATTGCTTTATAATATGTTATTGAATGCAGGTAATATATTCGTGCAAGTGGAATATATTGCATTTTAAATGCTAAGAAACAAAAGCAATGAAATATATTATTTTGCACTATTATTTTTAGTTATAATCAGTAGTAGTCACTAGATATACGAGCATTCATCAAGACGGAAAATGAGTTGTTAATTGAAGGTAGGTAAAGGATACAAATATATATGCATCGGGAAAATTATTTTCTCAAAAGCCAAAATCTGTCGCTGTTGTTGTAGATTTTAAGAAAAAATAAATTTTCTGTTAGAGCATAGCAAGAGGAAAATAACTAGATGTTGTAATGATGCAGCGATAACCCTCATACAGTCTTTTTTAGAATAAAGATTTTCATAATAACGTTTAAATTTTTTTGTACGGAAATGTATTCCCATACTTCATTTTATACGCTAATATTACATTAACTGCCACAGTTAAGGTATTTATGAGAAAAATATTTTCCACAGTTTATTGATAAGAATTTAATAAGTAAACGGCACATATTTTACCTCATTCTGAGCTTTTCTTTAACTGAATTATTTCCCAAAATTAAGCTACTTTAAATTCTCACAAGAAATTATATGTTTTGAAATATTAAAATGCAATGAATTTAATGTGTACTTGAAGAGGTATGAAAGACAACGCCAGAACCTTGTAATTTGACCTGGAAAAAAGCCAAATAACTTTTTATTTTCTTTTGCCATTCACTGTCAGAAAAATATAAGACTTGACAGATAACCGAGCTTCTTAGAATTTTTAATTAAGCTTCATGACGTAAGCCCATTAAAATCAGGTCAAGTTGTTTAGAGTTATATTTAACATTTTTGCTAGCAACAATATCAGCAATAATGCATTCTGCTCTGTTCGCAGTCTGCCATCTGCTGTTACACTTACTTTTACTAACCCATTTTTAGCCCAAAGAAGCAATTTACCCAGAAGGGCTATTAATTTCGTTTTGGCATTTTGTGTTCACTATAAACAGCGAATCAATTTTAAATTGTTGCCACCAAATGTTAGTGCCCTCTATTATATTAAAAAATTAAATAACGAAGAATCTGCATAAATGTATATATGTTTCTCGCATTGTGGTAAAACAAATGTACCTAGAGTCATCAACTTTTGAATAACGTACGTCTCCACCCGAATATGGGCATCTGGAAGCCCAAATTTGGAATTCGTTTTATTATTTAATGCATATTTTGTAAAGCATTTATCAGTTTTTGATTAAAAAATTCGAATATTACATTCTTGGAGCTTGCGCCAAAGAAAATTCGATTCAAAGGCAAAATCCCAAATTATTTAAAAAGAGTATATCTTTAGAATTTACGATAGCTAATCTCGCGCACTGAAGATAAAAATGTTTTATTCTACACAGTGTTGCCACTGCTTGGTTTGAAATCGTCAAGTTTGTTAATCATGAATCCGTTAAAGTTTTACTTAATATGAAATAGATAATAAAACAAATTGAAAATACAAAGTTTAGGCTTCCAAGTGTTCATGTTCGGGCAGAGGACTACGTTATTCAGAATTGTATGGGTGTAGGTACCGTTGTTTTTTCCGATTGCGAGAAACATGCACACATTCATGCAGATTCTTCAGTATTTAATTCCTTTAAATATAATACAGAGTGGTAATATAATACAGGGCGTAACTAAACGGCGCATCACTTTAGTCCCAGTAAAAAAGCATATATCGTTTATCTTGCTTTTTAAGTACATTACTTCACATATACAGTGCCGTTGAAATTTTTACAAAATGTGCTGGTTTATTCTCTCTCTCTTTTTTTTTTTCCTGAATACGTATGCGTAATTTTTTATGTGTTAAGTTAGAATCTGAAAACTTCGCACTTTTTCATGGAAGGGAAGGAGAATACACTTTCACAAATTAAATTCCATTCAACAGTATGACTTTTAAAAGGAAAAGAAAACATTTTAACTTTTTCTTTTAACGTAAATTTCAGAAGTAGTTTAAAAATCGAAACATAATCTGAATTTTATCGCACTTTTATTTACTCAAGAGTATCAAAAATATTGCTTTCGTCACTTGTTTAACACGCATTCATCGTTTATATCAAGACATGCAAACTCGTGTTTTTCACTGAAAGATTCATGTATGGTTTGAATTTCGAAGAAGTGTAGAATTGTTGCAAAATACAAACGTTAGAAACAAAGATCTTGAAAGAAATAAGCTTATGCTGGTTATACTGTAGAAATTGTACCTATAAAATTTTGCAAATGAATTTTTTCAATTTTGCCAGATGATAACTAATGAAATTAATTACTAAGCTATCTCAAAACCTTTTTAAATGTCTGTAAAGTACGCTTTATGTTAATTATTTCATTTTCTTATGATTTGAAACTTTACTCCCACCTTTTTCTTAGGTTTCCCCAAGGTAAATCAGATACGCATATTTTAGTCAGTGTTCTTTAAAGTTTCGACAGAGAGCTTTTGGCAGCGACACTGATCGTGGTACGATTCTCTCGCACAGCTGTGTGACTTACAGCATATTCCGGAGTATGAAGCACACTTTTAATACAAAACATAAAATCGAATATAAAAATGATATATTTAAAAATAAGGAAAAGAAGAGCTAGCAGGAATTAGATTTCTACATGCACCTAAATGCTGATTATTTAAAAGAAATGGTACATCATATGAACTTAAAAATTTTCGTTATCGGATAATTTCTTTTACGTATATTAATTAGTGTGATTCAATTTTTTCTTTCACAGACGTATGGAAGATTCGCCCACACCAAGCATCCTTGCTGCAGCACAATTTCCATTTTCTTTCTCAAATTGAACAAATTTGTATTTGAAATTAGCACTGTATTTTTTCGTTTGGCAGGAGCTATATTTACATCTAAAGATTGGATCAACTGTATTTCAACTAAAGCAAATGCGATTCATTAAAGCCTTTGATATTCACTTAAATCACGGCTTCAAATGACTGTAGAACGAGAATCTCACTTCTAATTCCACAAATTCTTTGGGGACAGAAGTGCATTTTTAAGCCAAATTATGTCCCACTTTTCCCCAAACCGCAGCGTAACATTTTTACGCACATCTACATTGAATACAACCCACCCTCTTTGAAGAATGATTTACTCTTTCAAGTATTTCTCCCCCCACAAATATTGTTCGTCTTATCGCTTGTTAATTGAGTATAATATTATCGAAAGCATGGAAAGAGTCTTCTATTGAATGACTTCAAAAGATAAGAGTATCGCACATGTATTCAAGTTCCTTAGTAAAGAAAAGAGTGCCCGTTGTACTGCAAATTTATCTAAAAATTAAAAAGTGTAGTTTGAAATAAAAGGTGGGCGTTATATACCGATAAACAACAATTCTCCAGTTTTTGAACAACCTTTTAATGCTGATTTCTGTATTGGGGAATTGATAAATGGCCTTGATGTCTTAGTTAAAGGTAAAAGTGCAGGCCCGGCTGAAATCCTACCCGAGTTCCTTGTAAATCTGGGAAATTCTGCAAAAATAACTTTGTTGGCATTTATTAACCAAACTTGCAGAAATGGCTTGCCAAGTGCTTGGAGAAAAGCCGTGATAATACCAATTCTCAAACCTAACAAACCGGCTGAAAATATGAACAGTTTCTACCCGATTTCTTTTACAAGCGTAATATGTAAATTAACTGAGAGATTGACTGCTAATAAGTTAAATTTTGTACTAGACAGAATTGGTTTAATATCTGAAAAACAGCCGGGTTTCCGTATACATAGAAGCGCAGTTGAATAAATTGTACGCTTGTCCCCAGAGGTAAGAGATGGTTTCCAAAGAAGGAAAAGTACCCTTGCAGTATTTGTAGACTTTAAAACGCTTAATCAGTGTTAAGTATGGTCATGCTGTGTAAGGTTACAGTCAAACCAGGCAGGGAGCTGTTCTGAGCCCGATTCGTTTTAATCTAATGATCAGTGATTTAATAGACACTATTTTCAGTTCTGTCCCAGGCGTGAATGCTGATGATGTGGTGATGAGTGCTACAGGATCTAACTTGGCTGGACTGTAGAGCGTCCTGAAATAGGCCTTAAATGTTCTTAACACCTGGACTTATGATAATAATATGGTCGTAAATACAGATAAAACCACCTTTCAATTGTTTTCCCTCAGTACAAAACATCACGACATTCAACTTCAGTTTAATGACAAGGATCTGAATAGAATTTTTGATACTGTCTACTTGGGTATTCACTTAAACACAAAATTAACTTGGACGAAACATGTTAATTCAGCCGTTGATAAAGGATATGCCAGATCAAGACTATTGAAACGTTTAGCTAGTGCCACTTGGGGCTCAACCCAAGATGTCTTGTGTACAGCCTATAAAAGTTATGTTCGTCCTGTTGTTGAATATGGAAACGAAGCTTTGATAACCGCCTCAGACTCCATTAAAAACAAATTTGACCTATTCCAAAACAACATGTTGCGATTGATCACTGGTGGTGCTACATCAACCTCCATAGTTGCTATGGAACTTCAGATTGAACTAGAACCGTTAAATGAAAGGTGCCAAAGCGCTGCCATAAACCTCGTTGAAAAAATCTTATGAAGAAAAAATAACTTTCTAAATTATTACAGACAAGTAAACGAAAGATTAAAAACCCACAATTCCTTCCTTTTCACTGTCTACGATACCCATGATATTCCTACATCCAATCTCCAGGTTTTTCCTGTGGAATTAAATTCTGTTCGAGATCAAATCATGCTGGAGGGCCACCTGGATCTTGTTTGGAATGCCAATAAACAGCTCTCCTTACAAAGTGAATTAAAAAGTGCTTATCTGGCTACTGTATATAGTAGGTACCCCTTTGAGGATTGGCTGTATGTGTACACTGATGGTTCGGCAGAAGGCGCTGTAAAAAACACCGGTGCTGGAGCATACTCAAGTACTTTCAGTATTAGATATCTTGTTGGGAAATACTGTCACAATTTTGAGGGAGATACAGCGGCGATATAATTTGCAGTTGATAAATTGAAAGACAATCCTGATCTCAATATTGTATTTCTCATTGATTCTCAAGCTGCTATATTGTCGCCTGTGAATTCAAAATACAGTGAAAATGCACATATCCATACTTGTACGGCAAGCCTTTTTGAACTTAAGAATTCTAGAGAAAACATCGCTCTCCATTAGATTCCGAGCCATTGTGGCATTTTTGGTAATGAGCAGACTGATAGACTTGCTAAAGCTGGTTCTCTAATGACTCAGCCTGATTCTTCTCTGCCTTTGCGTAACATTAAAAGGCTTGCAAATAATAAAAATAAGAATAATAGAATGTCCTTATACAGAGATGTAGTTGTGCGTAAGAGGTGGAACATCTTGCTTAACAAAAAGACTAAATTTCCCAATTCTTTGACTCGATTTGTTGGAGTTGCTTGCTTTCGAATGCTAACTGGACATAATCATTTACAAAGGCATTTATGTCGTATTGGAGTCGAGAATTCAGCTTGATGTCCTTTCTGTCATCAAGGTGGCATAGATGGTGAACCATCTCAAAAACTGCCCCATTGTTTTTTAATGACAACTCTTTTGATGCTAGTTTTAATTCTCATTTTCATTCTTCTTTATTTCACTGAGCTGCTCGTCTCTTAATGGCAGAAGTGCCGCAGATGGGCGTAGGATAAAAATATACATATATTATGTACCGATGCGCATTATACGCCGAATATACAGTAACTACCCGTTTTAGCCATTTTACTAACTTAAGATAATTTCTCATTTAGTAACTGAGCCAATGCTAGGCTGTTTGCTTTGTATTTTCCAGCATAGATTTCATTTAAAGTGTAACTGTAGTTTTTCTTTTACTGATATTCCGCAAGTTGCGGAGAATAAACTGTAAGCATATGTATATTTTCTTCAAGATAAACATTTTAATAAAAAGGCTGTTTAAGCTTTCTCCTGTGGCAGTAGTTAATTTCAGAAACGGAGCGATAAATCGCTTGACTTTTTTAATTGGCTTTAAGAATTTTAGTTAATTAGAGAGAGAAACACTACATATTTGCGAAGTTTTAGTATAATTTTCGGTTAGATTTTATGCAGCCGGTATCTGGTGTTATGCGTGTAAAGTCTTACTAATGATTATGAGTAAAGTTTATTTCGCACAATGCCAGTATAGTCAAACAGTTTGATAGCAAAGTTTGATAACTGTAGAGATCCAACTTTTCCATAATAAACTTTTTGCAGGCTTAATATTTTTTTTAATAGCATTAAAATCAAATTAACATGAAAATATTTGGCGTGTGTGCAAATCTGAAATTTTAAAATGTCATCTATATTATATGCAAGTATGAAAATTCTTCTCCTTTATTCAGAGCACAATACCATTTCTTCCCAGTGGCGTAGCGAAGGGAGGCAAGGGGGTGTATGATGGCCCGGGCGCCGCTCGCAGAGGGGCACCAAATGGTCTCCAAACATGATTTTCCAGAAAATTTCAGTTTTTATTTCGATCGATTTCTGGAAAATATATTTAAAATTAATAATTATTGTAATATAATTAATTACTTATTTTCTTTATTTGTCTGATAAAATGTGTAATAAAATGTTTGCAGTACATCAACCAAATATCTCCACATACAAAACGTTCTTTCTGACCGCTTTATTTCTCTAAAACAGAGATATATTTTTATTTTTTACGAAATGCACGTATAACTCCCGTTTTTTTATTTTAAAACGATAACACGACCTTGTCCCGAATTTCTCAAACATATCCAGTTTCCAAAAACTGATTCCATAGTCTGGAAATGACATTTTGGGAAACTCCTAACGCTTCCGCTACAATGGATTGCGTTTGACTTTCCTGTAACCATTAATGGCCTTCCTGGCTACCGATTCAACTAAGTCATCTTGTTGAGACATCGTATATTCATTGCTACAAAACATTAAATGCGTGTCAGTTGTTTTTAGTCTCCTACTAAAAAGGAATTCTGCAGGTCGCTCCTTACTCCTTATCTAAAACGCATAGTCCCGACGTCACAGGCTAAATTTGCATATTTCCAACTTTGTAAACGTTATAATTATCCTTTATAATCTCTTCTACTTCCTTTTGTTAAAAAAGTTGTCGATTATATGGTTATTTAATACCGAACTCGCAATGTCCCCTAATTGTTTTGAGCAGCGAATATCTGCAAGATGTTATTCCGCAGTAGAAAAGAAACTGAATCTAAAACTCCATTACAGATCTATGGAGATAATGTTTTTCCAAACCAAAGAGTAGCACTTCAAATACTCCTTACTATTTCATTATCAAATACTAACTATGAACGTTCGTTCAGCAAATTAAAATAAATTTTGACATATTTACAATCAACGATAGGACAAGATCCCTTAAGCCATCTAGCATTTTTAAATGTGGAAAGAGAAAAATTTGAAATGACCCAATTTGATGAGGTAATAGATAAATTTGCTTCATCGAAGACAAGAAAAATGTATGCATGGTAATTAATTATATTAATGTATTATAATACTATATTGTTATTAATAAATATATCTATTTATATATAATATATATTAAACTTTTAATTGCTTAAAACTGTACTTTTTTAAAAACAGTTATATAAATATGTAAAATAAGTAATACCTTTTTAACTAATTCTAGATCATCGAATGTCTGATTTTTCCGCCGACACAGATACATTTCCGAATCCAATGCTAGTATAGTTAGGTAGTGACTGTTCTTAATACATTTTAGAGTATTTTATGGCAGATTCAGCATTTTATTATTATTTGCATTATTTTCTTATTACGAATATATCGTACACAATATATTACTGTAAGTTTTTTTGAGGGGGCGCCAAAAAGGTATTTTGCCCCGGGCGCCAGTTATGCTCGCTACGCCACTGTTTCTTTCTAAAAGTAAAATTCACCATTTATTTGAGAAATATAACACTTTGTTCATTTTGAAAATGAAACTTATGCTTAAAAAAAAGAAAGGATTTTATTCTTTTTCCCTTCTTTAGAATTCCTGTGCCATTACTCCATTAAATAGAAATAGTTGGAAGATAAGCTTTTATGAAAAAGGCACATTTATCTGGGAAAGCTTACTTTTTTATATATGTGTGTTAATACCCGTACCCTAAACCTAAAACAATGTACAATTTTTTAAGCATCTTTCCAGCTGAGCAAACTTAAATTCTTTACTAGGAATGCCACAAGAATCAAATGTTTTGTCTTACTTCTTTTATCCCTAACTAAAACGACTGTTCCAGCAATTTATTCCACAAAGTTTATAAAAGAAAGAAAATAATCTAAAAGCTTTCAGATTTTATATTATGCTCAAAGGGACTTTTTTAAACGTTTTGTGTGTTACCTTTATTTATTAAATATCATGTTCGTCGCACTTAAACTGCATAAAATTCAATGCAATAGCAATATTACAAACGATTTAAAAACAGCCTATTTTTAGAATTTTCGATAGACACTTTCGCGTGCTAGAGATAAAAGTGTTTTTTCCCGTACAGTATTGCCAATGCTAATTTTGAAATCGTTGAGTTTGTTAATCAAAATTTGGGCTTCTAGGTGCTCATGTTCGGGTGGAGAATTACGTTATTCAAAATTTGATGGTTCTAAGTATCGTCGTTGTTTCACAGTGCAAGAAATATACATGCAGATTCTTTATTATTTAATTTCTTTAAATAGAATACAGGGCGACAATATTTAATTTGAAAAGTGGTACAGCCGTTGATAGTGACTGGACGCAAAACGCCGTTCCGAGAATAATACCCTTCTGAGCTAACACCCCTTTAGGCTAAAAAAGGGAAAAGAAAAGAAAGAAAGGAAAAAGAGGAAAAAAGAAGTACAACAATATATTTGCAGTATGTATATAATTGAGTTTAATAAGTGACTGAGTTTAATAATCGGCAGTGTATTGCAAATCGTGACTTGGGTTCAGATTATCGTGACATAGGTTTAAGTGAAATTATAACAACAAATAATTTAGTATTAATAATAAAATAATAATGGCAAATTAATGTTTAAATTAAACTGCAGGTTTAGCTATTTATTTTTAACTAGTAGTTAATTTTAAGTTTTAATTCTTTCCTATCACTTTCTTTTCACATACGCTTTTCATGCCAGAAAGTAAATGAGATAGCGATCGTTTATTCAGATTAAGGTTGAAAGAATTCCGGAAGTTAGTGTCAGAGTGTGTCTGTCTACTCCAAGCCATGTTGTGCTTTGATTATTAGCGATTTGATAATGTGAGTGCTTGTAAGCCATTTAGCTTGTCTCGCCGGTTTTCTACAAACCAGAGCCTTTCCTGCATGTTAAATTATTCTGTAAGCTGTTAGGATAATCTACCAGATTTGAATTTGTTCAACGTTTCGTATTTCTGTTAAGGCAGAAGTGTTTTTAAATTTAAGTCAACCCAAGGTCGGTAATTGTTAATGTTGCATTTGAATAAAAGGGCTATTTTACACTCTTCTTCTGACTTTGCCTTTTTGCAGTTTAAGACAAGACGATTATTTCTCTGCAGTGTTTCTAGAGTTTAGCATTATATGTTCCCAAAGAAAGTGAGACTCTGCAAAACCATTTATAAAATTTCGAAATTTAAA